TTGTAAAATCATATATTTCATGTTGTAATGAAGCATTTGACATGATTTCTTTTCATATGCCCAGAAGAGAATGTCTGTGGGATAATTCACTGTAACGGGATCAAGTACGTTGTTCACTGTAGGTTGTTTAAACACAAGCCTTTCTTTTCACAGTTCTGGTTCATATGGACTGTCATTCATGCAGCAGGCATGGTATTGAAATCAGAATGAAAATGCATGAGAATTTTAATCTTATTTTTTCCTTCTCACTCCGATACATCAGCTGTATTTATTTTGATCCATCAGGGAACAAAACCTTTAACTTTTAAAAGAAAACAGCACGGGGAAGTCTTTTGTGTTACGTGTTGGTTGGGCTGTAAATACAAAGTTATTGAACCTCTCACTAGGGTTAAATTGCAGACTTTGAACAGCTAAGCAAGAAAGTAACAGGAAAAAAATGAGTGGGAGACGTTGCACTTGGGGTAAGAACTGGTTCGTGGAAAGTGACTTGAAATCCACACGAGGAAAGTGGATGTTTATGCAAGTAAGCATAAGGCTAAGTGTTGTTCTTAAACATATTTTGTTTTGATTGCTTTGTCTCAAAAAAGACAGTGCTTTAAAAAAACTGAAACAACAAAACCCAAACAAAATGAAAAAGATTGCAGGTACAAAAAGGGCATATTAAAAAAATTAGGGCTGCTTGGGTAGCGAGACTAAAATCAAATGCTGTGAGTAGCCTGTGTGCTAACAAATACTGCAAGAGAGGAAAAGGCTTCAGAATACTCATTCTTCAGGATTCTGTTTGAGTCAAGTTTGTGTCTACCTGTTGACTGCTCTGCTCAGGACTTTCTGCTTTTGTTTTCTTTAAAGCATTAAGAGCGCTTAGGGGAAAAAAATGTGAAAACTATCTTAGTGGGTAATATTATGCAAAGTGTTTAAATCCTCAGACACACTAAGCAGTTAAGAATATTTGGTAACAAGCGTGTGGCAGGTGTAGCCCGAGTTTTCTAGCAAAATACAACTTAGCTATTGTGGACTTTGGTTTAATGCTTCTAGTCTTGCTTCAAGGTGCAATTCTACGATACTGTTCTACTCTTTCCCAGCTCTTGGCTATTCTGGAAGGTAAATGCTATTTTTTTTTTTTTTAGCCTATATACTGGCTTCTCTGAGGGTTTACAATTTTGCCCATCTTTCTTCCTGCCTTTAGGGGTTTTTTTGATAGTGTGGGTTGGTTGGTTGGTTGTTTTTTTGCCAAATTACTGAGTAAGACTTTATTGCCAGCTTTTCCACGCAGCAGACAGAAGTGGATGGAATTTTGGTTACTTGCAGTGCTGCCAATCAGAAATTTAGGAGAGAGGAGATTAGGAGATTTTGTCAACTGTAACACGTTTTTTACTTGAGGAAATCAAGTAAAATCAGTCCCAGTCAAGTATCAGTCCCTTTTCCAAGTGAGTGCTTTTACAAACACGAGGGTTGGAATGGTGATTGGGAAGGATTCTCCCAAGAGACTAAATAATTCATAGATAGATAAACAGAACTAGGCTCCACAGCTGTGTGGGATGGGTCTAATGAGGTTTTTGTTTATTTGTTCTTTGAACATGTATATTCCATTTTTAAATGAGTGCTTAAAGTCAATTTAAATTGAATGAAAACTAGCAGTGGACAGACAGGAAGATTTGTTAAACTGTAACATGTATTTATTTTGATTAATCAAAATGTATCATCTGAAATTTGTTTCCTTGTAAGGGGAAATTCAGAATTTAAACAAAGAATGTTAATAATGCATAGGCATAATAACTGCCAAGGGAGACACTTGGCAACTTTACAGAAAAGAAATATATGCATTTTCTCATAGCCTACTTGGAATTCTTTCCTTTATTCATGATGTGGTTGTAGCAGACAGTTGGGAATTTTGATGAAAGCTTGTTTTTTATAGAATTGTCCAGTTCATGCTACTACACAAGGAACAAGCCTGTAAATGAGAGATACAGAAAACCACAACTTGTTAGAAGAATTAAAGAAAAAAGAAACATTAGTGGTATCGTTGCTATTGCAGCAGGAGAGACTGATGTAACATGAGGAAGGATACTCCCATCAGCCCTGGAGATTAAATTGATTTCTTGATTGGAAGTTTAGAAAGGCGTAATTATAGTAGTACCATGCTATTAAAAGTTGTACCAAGAGCTGAGCTTAAATATGACTCCTTATGTCAGCCCTCACAATGGTGTCAAGGTATATTATGTTCTTAAGGGATAAATGAAACTGGGACTGGAAGTGTATTGCACACACTGGGATTTGAACAGCAAAATTGCTGCTTCAGTTGTTCCCAGTATTTCATCAGGAGCTGATTTCCAAGGGCTTGTAACCTGCTCCTGATAATTTGAAGGGGGCATGTACTTGATGTGTAGTATCTCAGCCTTGGAATATTGTCCTTTGCTTAATTCTTCACCTCTGGTGTTTTGAATTCCCATTAGGCAAGTGTTGAGATTTAAGCGTGGAATTTCCTACACCCTCTAAGTTAAAATATTCCTGGTTTCACTGCTTTGCTTATAAAATAAAACTTAACGTGCCTTTGAAGAGCTGTATTTCCCTTTTTCTCGGTTGTATATATCAAGTTTAGATCTGTTAATATATAATTAATGAACAAAAATGAGGCTTGCTGAAGAAGATTACGAGCACATGGTAATAAGCTTTCAGAAATGCATAGATCTTTGGGTCAATTTTCTTGATCCTCTTGCTGGAGACAGACTGATCTAACCTGGGGATTTTGACTAGTCTTTCAACAGGCAGTAGCTCATAGGCTGCTTTTACTGCCTGCCAGCTTATTGATTTCTAAATTCATTGACAGTATGTGCATAGTAGAACAAGAAAACTATGTTACAGGGAAATAAGTGGAAGTTAGTGCCAAAACAGAAAGGACAGTGAGTGCAAATTGTTTGGGCTTTGTTTTTCCCATTTCACGTCCATCTAATGGCTGGTTTATGAGACTTGGTTCCTGAGCTCATGAAGTGCAGTGGAAGGTGCTATGAAGCCTGTCAGAGGTTTGCAGTTTTCCATAGGAACTTCCAGAGTCTGCTGTGGAGTCAGTGCTATTTCCCTGTTTTTGGTGGGTGGCTTAAGAGCAGGCAAAGGTGGCAGTTTGGCTTTTTATTTACTGAAGTGGATTTTTATCCTGTCATGCAGATATGTCTTGTCTGCTGGGGTCTGTCTGACTTCTGGGTTCAGGCAGAATGTGCTTCAGCTGCAGCTTTTCCCTCCCTTCTTTTCCCAGAAAGCACAACAAGCTGAACACGTGTGGTGTGTTACAGAACTCAAGGTGTGCTGGACTCCTGTGGATTCACATTTATGATCCATCTTTCCCAGACAGAGTTGTCTGGTCAGTCCATCCGTCATTCTCTCCCTTCCTCCACTGTAGCCTCCCAGTGACCTTATCTGGTGTGTGTGAATATAATCTTTGGATTTGTACTGGTCAATTGGTTTGAAGACATGTGCAGAGACCTTGATTTTTATATACTTTGGGAGCCTATAAAATGGATTTGTGGAATGACAATCAAATCTCCCAACCCCTGCTATCTTTCTCCTTCTGCCAACTGCAATGCTGAGAACCAGATTGGCTGAAGAGTCTGTGTTTTCTCTGTATCTTAAAGGTTGTTGTTTTTTTTTAAGACTCCTTCCTTTTGAAATGTTTGTCCTGTGCAGTGGCAAAAGGGTTATTTTTGTATCTAGAAGGGCTGGAAATTTACATAAGGAGAGGAGAAAAGCTCAACAACCTCACATTCTGTACCGAGAATACCTGCTGTGTCCCTGTTATAAACTCAGCTGTGAGAAGTTATAAACATCCCATATGTGGGATGAGTTTCTTCTCCTTTACCCCTTCTTTTCCCTCTCTACAGTTCAATATGGTTTAGGTTGTTATTTTCCTTTTTCAAATCAATCTGTTGCAGATAAAAAAGAAGGAGAAATGGGGAAGGAGAAAGAAAAGCTCTCTAGAAATAATTTCTTTGGGAGTTACATAACCTGCCTCTCCATGTATTTAAGAACATATCTCTGCCTTTCAGCTACACCAGACCTAACCCACCATCTTCCTTTAAAGTAGCAGTCAGGGAGATTTCGCAGTAAGATGTTGGATTGTGGAATGGAGCAGCTGAGGCGGGGATGTGTCTCCTTCTGTTCCCGCCTTCCTTGAGCAGTGATTTCAGACAGAGAGGACAGATGTGTGTCTGGGAATGGCACCGTCCCCAACCACTGCAGCAAAGCCTCCAGGTGGCCAACTGCCAAGGTGTTCTGTTAGTGCTTCCCGTGGAGACCTGGCAATCTTTGGAATACCTGCAGCAGTGCCAGGTTAAAGATGTTCTGAGTGTGCCTTACAAAGCCACAGCTGTGGTTCAAGCAGTTGTGATGGCGTTTCAACAAATGCCCTCAGTTACGTGTTTGTTTTTTTTTTTAAATCAGTGGCAGATTTCTCTTGGGGATTGCAGAGAGATTTCTCCACCAACCTTCGATCACTTTAATATTTCACTGTTGTACTCCTGTCCAGCAAAACTAATTAAGGCAAAACGTGGCTAAATTTGCTTTGAAAGCAAAGAGTTTGTGGTTTTTTTCTTTAAAACTTGAAAATAATTATGAAGTCGCATTTTAATTATCTCCCCCTCAATATTTTAAGGTGCGATGTGTTGACACCTCATACATAGTATTTTTTTTTATTTTCCTGGTTTTGTTCAGTGGCTGTGCTTACTTGCAGTGTTTTTATGCACTTGACCTGCTGTTAAAAAAATCTGATCTATATTTAAGTTCTGAGTAAACTAATGACCGAAAATTAGTCTTCTTTCCTAGTTAAATGATTCACTTGGTATAACTTATATCCTGTATATTTTAGAAAGGGAATAAAATCAGAGTATGTTTGTATCTCAAGGAGATACTGGCCGAGACTCTTAATCATTCAGACTTTTTCACTTAATGCCTTGAAATATTGATTAAATATATTCGCTCTGGTTTGCTTTAATCTGACTGCACATCTACAAGTTTTCTTCTGATGTGGTGCAGCCGGTGTGGGGTGTAAGCTGGTTTAATTAGCACCGCTCAGTGATTTGGGACCCCTGTCAAAGGCTGTTACGTTATCTGGAAACACAAGGAGTTAAAGCTGGAGCTGTGACCTCATCTCTATTCATGTTACAGTGGAGCAGAAGCTGCGCTGAAAGGGGCTGTTTAACCGCATCGCTGTCTTTGCTGCTGCTGCTGCTTGATCGCTTTAATTTGGTTCTGAGATCTGTAGCGTGCTTTGCTGAACTCTTACAGAGGGGATTAGTGGGAATACTGGAGGCAAACCGAGCCGTGCTAATATCGAACGTCCGTAGAAATAGCTCCTGCAGAAATATTTAGACTCAAATACACCTTTCCACCCGATTCCAACTTTTTTATTGCTCCCCCGTGACAATTCAGGCGGCACTGAGGAGGGCTCTCTCTCTTTCTCTCCCTCGCACACACACTCACACACGGTCCTGGCTTACGCAACCGTGCCGTGTGTTATTTAATTGCTTATCTGTGCGTAGGAGATGCCGATTCAACTGCTGCGGCTTTAACGTGGGAGCGGCGCACGCCACAATAGGTGTCACTGTGCGCGAATCCAATCGTTTTCCCTGGCTGCAGCCATTGGCTCCATCGGCGCGGCTGCGATACCTTACTCCGCTCCCATCCCTTCCACGCACAACTCCAGCTCGCTGAGCGCACTGGCAGCGCGACCGTGTGCCTCCTCACACCCCCTCCGGAGAGCCTGCTCCCCTCCCGGGGTGTAGCGCTTTCCCCGCGATCCTGGCCGGGAAATCTGGAGAGAAATAAAGCTGGCGGGAATGATGGGGATGTATTTAACGATTCAAGTACTGGATCAAACTTAAATGTTTGTTACAGTTTCTTACTCGGTGCGCTGGAAAGGTCACCTTGTCTTGCTGGAAAAGAAGCAAACTCTCAGCTCTGCTGCTTTCTGTGTAACAGCTTCCACGTGCATTCTTTAATGTTCCTGGCTAGTTAGGCTGTCGGGCTTTACAGACCGGTATACTCATGGTAGATGAGAAAGGAAAGAACATGAAATGTCTCACCTTCTTCTTGATGCTTCCAGAGACGGTCAAGAACAGGTCCAAGAAGAGCTCTAAGAAAGGAAATAGCAGCGGCAGTAGCAGCAGCAAATTGCCTCCAGTTTGCTATGAAATCATTACCTTGAAGACCAAAAAGAAGAAGAAGATGGCTGCTGATATTTTTCCCCGAAAGAAACCTGCCAACACTAATACAACTGCTGTCCAGCAGTACCATCAGCAAAATCTCAATAACAACAACACTATTCCAGCACCCAATTGGCAAGGACTTTATCCAACCATCAGAGAGAGGTAAGTTCAGAGCAGTTTATTTCTGCTGTTTGAATGGAAGAGTGAAAAGTAGCAAAATGTTCAGAATGCATTTATTTGCTGAAGAGAAAGCAGTTTTATTTTGTCTGTGTGGAGTTTTTTTTTTCTCCCTCTGTGTGTGTGAAACAAGCATTTTGGTAATGCAAAATATTTTAATATTTCTTTTCCAGACAGTGCAGCTGTTTGCCTTGAGTAAATAAAAATGTTACTGGAAGCTGCAGCATCCCTGTAAAGATTTGCTTGTAGACCTTGGTGGGGATTGTCAGTGAGGCGCTCTCTTGACTTAGATTTCCACTGTTTGAAAAGTTCTCAGAAGTTTGGGGGTTTCTTTCATTGCAAACACCCCCCACACACACACTTTAGTGTTTTAGTATTTTCTCTGGTGTATTGGTGTGATGATGTGTAAAGTAGTTTGAAGCATGACCTGCTTCTGTTTGCTAACTTTAAGTTGTTAAGACATTAAATTTCTTGGGTCTGGGGCAAGCAGAGAGTTACCGGGCACCACGAATTAACCCACTCCCTCTGTCTGTAGAAATGCAGTGATGTTCAACAATGACTTGATGGCAGATGTTCATTTTGTGGTCGGGCCACCAGGTGGGACCCAGCGGCTGCCAGGACACAAAGTAAGCAACAGCTGCATTATCCGTTCGGGCTGGGAGAGCCGGAGGAAGCTCCTGCGGTGACGCCAGGACATGGCGTGGGAGGCTCTGCTCTGCTGGGACAGATCTTCTGTGTTTTAGAAGGCTGCATGCAGTGAAATAGTCTGTCCTTTGTACATTTGTTGTGCTAAGGCAGTAAAGTCAGGAGTACTCCTTTGGGCCATTGGTTAATATTGCTCTGGAGATTTTCTAGAAATAGTTAACTTCTGTGGTGGACATGAGCGTTTTCCAGTAGCTAATGCATCTATACCCAAGAGAGTAAAATGAAGGGAAAATGTGTAATTTGTTCTTAACTTGGGCTTCATTTCTTACTGAAGTGTGTCTATAGAGCCTGTCAGTGAAGCCCAGTATGCTCAGAGTGGCTCTCCCACACTGTTTTTGTTGGCAGTGCTTTCAATTTAAAGCATGAAATAAGATTTCCCTTTCTCAACAGTACGTCCTGGCTGTTGGGAGCTCTGTATTCCATGCGATGTTTTACGGAGAGCTTGCTGAGGACAAAGATGAGATCCGTATCCCAGATGTTGAGCCTGCTGCTTTCCTCGCCATGCTGAAGTAAGCACCATTCCTCTGCTGGATGTTTTTTCTTTCCTGATGTATACACACACACTGCTGATGTTAGAGCTGAAGTATTCGACTTGCATGTAGACAGAAAGAAGGCAGTCTCTTAAAATATCCCTCTTTTTTTTGTATGTGTGTTTTAGACTTTCACCTCATTTTGCTCTCCCCCTCTACTCCCAGGCACACACATATCAGCCTAATGTAGGCAGTTGTAAATAATGACTTTGACAGGGGATCTTTGGGCACATTGTGTACTGTAATGCCTATCGATCTGATTTGTCACTACACGTTACACAAAGGAACGGAGTTACTAAAAAGATTTGTCAGCTGTAACAAAAAAACCCCAAACCAACTGTTCTACTTTGCGGGCACGGGGAAAAGTTAAAAACACGCACACAAAACCCTCCCAAACCCAGTAAATTGCTGGGTTGGTATGTTGACATTGTTCCAGCTCTTTTATAAACTTGCTTGTATGTAGGTCTTGTCTTTGAAAAACCACCCTAACTTATTGAATATAGCCTCTGAAAATTAAATTTCTCCTCATATATCATTGTGATGCATTTTGGAAAGTGATAGAAAGGCTGTTTATGTGAATAGGGGTTTTTTATCTACCAAGGAAAACCAGTCAGTTTACATGATCATTATTTTTCTTCTTGCAAACTGCGTAAGAAATGCTGTCTTTTCCTAAATGGGCATAATGAAGCAGCTTCCCTGCTGAATTGTCCTTGAATGTATCTATAAACTCTGATTACCAAAGAGAAATGACATATCACAGAAATGCTATGGCTTTGAGGTTTTTTTCCCCCTCCAGAAAATACATCAGTATCTGATAGTGATCCTTTTAATGTGCTGCAGATTTTCTTGCATATAATAGTATAAACCCTAGCTAGAAATTTATTGTATTTCACAGATTGTTTTGACTAGCCTGTGATTACAGAATGTTGTGGGTTTTTTTCTTTTACATTTCAGTGGCACCCTAGATGAACATTAAAAGTTGCATATAGAGTTTTCATAGGTTATCATGAACATCAGAAATGTTCTTTGCAAATATCAGTAACTGCCAGGAAAAGCTACACAGATGTTCTGTAGACCTGAAATATCAAGTTAAGCTATGACATTACGCAGGGAGATGGATCCTTGCTTTGGGTCTTTCTGGCTTTGTGGCAGAGCTCAAAATTGTGCTTTTCTTTCATGCTGAATTTTGCAAATGACAAATACAAGATACTTGGGTTTCCCCAACACCCCTTTCTTTTTGGAAAGCAAATCTATTTCACTGTGGCTAAACTTGATTTGCCATATAAAAACTGAATGCTCCTTGAATTTACCATTGAGAAATGTGTAAAGCAAACCTAGATAGGAGAGTATCAGTGCTGACATCTAGGTCTTGGTATGTTATTTAGCCCATGGCAATTTAGGAAACTGTCTATGAGAGCATGACCAGAACCGTTGGATTCTCCACCTTCTCAGCTTGTATTTAAAAAGCTAAAAGACCAGAAAAAGTTTGTGGTCTGTGTGGATGCTGAGGTAACCCTGCTGGTGCTGCCTTCCCCTGATGCAGTGTGCCTGAACCTGCCGAGCTCCTGTGCCTGCAGAGTCTGGGATATCTGCTGCCCTGATGGTGCAGGGAAGGCAAAGGGTTGTTGCTCAGCAGTGCAGCATTCCCCTCATCCCAGGATCCAATGTATGTGGAGCTTCTGGGGAACCACAGTTCCCTTCACTCCTCTGGGAAATCATGCCAGAGTGTTGCTTGCAGCTGCTGTGAGCAGTGGATGGCAGAAGGCTCATGATGCTGTTGCTGCAGAAAGAGCAGACTTTTTTACCTATCCCAAATGAACTCTCTCCTTCATACACTTTTTTCAGCATCGTAAACTTTGTCACAAGATACACTGAATTAGTTTTTGTGGTTTTTTTTGTTTTGATGTCTTGTTGGTTTTGTTTTGTTTTCCCTGACAATGAATTCTTAAAGCATAAATATTTGGTTTGTTTTGCTATATAGGGGGCATTCTGACAACAAACATCAGATGAGGTTTTGCCAAATGTACCACAGAAAATAATGCCTTGACTGGTAGATGTTAATTATTCTCCCAGTAAAATTGCCTTGGCTGTTCTCTACAGTTTTAAAAATATGGTTAAACTCATAGTCTAAAACACATAGTCTCGCTGACACACCGAACTGGTGTCTTTATGTATTCTGTCTTATCCTAATCTTGACTGTTGAAGTTAGAACCATGATCTCATCCCGGGATGAATGTGTTACTAAACCGTCAAATCCTGTGGTCCAGCAGAATCCTCAGTTTAAGAACAGGGTGAACCTGGAATATCAGCAATTGCAGAGCAGAGTGGAGGTGTGTTGGCAGAGTGGGAAGTGTGGGATATTGCTGACAGCCGATCTGTGCTGTGTCTGCTGTAGAGCAGTGATATTAGTTCTGCACTTTCATGAATATTAAACTTGAAACTTTTGTACTATTTCAATTTAAAACAGATGTCATCATTCTCTCTATACTAGCAGGCAAAAAGAAGGAGTAGAAGGAAGGAAAGAGTTGGAGAGCATTGAGGAGAATCATAAAAACAAATTAATTGAAACACAGGAATTTTTTGGCCAGTAAAGGAGCTAAGCCTGTAACTAGTGATATATAGACGTGCTCTTTGTTGTTACAAATAAGCTGAAAGCAAGTAGTAAAGATTAAAACCAGGTTTGGCTCTGTGTAAGTATTCTTTTTCTCTGTAACCCCTTAGGTTTTATATTTCTGGACTGGTATCTCCTCTGTGCATGTTTCCTAAGTGTGGTTTGGAGGATACTATCTTACACCTGCAAAAATACAAACAGTTGTTTACAACTACAATCAGATCAGTGTAGATACTAATTCTACCTTATAGACACATCTGTTCTGCCAAAATTTCATTGTGTAGGGAAACCTGCTATCTAGAAAATTTTAATTAGTCCAGGGTCACATACAACTTCAGCTTTTCTGGAGGAAGACACTTTTATCAGCCATAACCATCAAGAGTTGCTTATCCCTGTGAAGACTAAAATTGCATTTGGCATGGTTTTAGCACATTGTATTCACCAGCTGCAAATGGGGCCCTGAAGCATGAGATACTGAAAAGAACAAACTGTACAGTGCTTCATTTCTCTCAGCAACAAATCCCGGCAGTTTAGTCACATAAATAGCATTTCACCTTCATCTCTTCCACCACACTAGCATAGCAGTAAAGCTTTTATCCTCCATATGCAGTGAGACCGAGAGAAAACACTGTGCTAGTGGAGTTATGATGTTGCAGGCATTAAAAACCCTCAAAATTACAGTTTTGTACCTTTTCCTTTTCCTATAGGCTTCATTACCCTGTTCAAAAAAAAAATAAAGCCATCATCTAAAAACAACCAACCCATTATTTATGGAAATGGATAGCACCTGATATACTTGAACAGGATTCATCTTCTTAGACTACCTAGTTATTGCCTGTAAACCTGTATATACAGCTCAGTAAATCATGGTTCACCATCACAGGACATCCAGTCCAAATCCTCTTGGTAACACATGTTCCAGACTTGTGTTAGCCAAGCAAAGTGGCACTCAAGGAGCTCCCACCAGGGGCAGATGGGCTCTCGTCAGCCAAGGCCTGTATGGAAGGGACACAGAGCTGGAGGGGCCGTGGTTTGTAAATATAACCATTGTCTCACAGCACGCACCCCAGGTGGCAGGTTGGATTCACCTTAGATTTAAGCCTGTTCTCTTCCATGGTCTTACATGAGTGCTGAGTTTGTCTTGTCCTTTCTTTCTAGATTTAATCCATATTCCCCAAAAGCACTGCTTAGTTTTAATGTGGAGCCATCTAAATATTCTTTGTTTACAATTCTTCATAGGTTTGTTGGTGGCACGTTTTTGCAGTAAGCGTCAGCGTTACGTCCCTGTGTTTTATTTCAGGTACATTTACTGTGATGAAATCGATCTGGCTGCCGACACCGTCCTGGCCACTCTTTATGCTGCCAAGAAATACATCGTCCCTCACCTCGCCCGCGCCTGCGTCAACTTCCTAGAGACAAGTCTGAGTGCGAAGAATGCCTGTGTGCTGCTTTCCCAGAGCTGCTTGTTCGAGGAACCCGACCTGACCCAGCGCTGTTGGGAAGTGATTGATGCCCAAGCCGAGCTGGCTTTGAAGTCTGAGGGGTTCTGTGACATTGATTTTCAGACACTTGAGAGCATCCTCCGAAGGGAGACCCTGAATGCCAAAGAAATCGTCGTTTTTGAGGCGGCCCTGAACTGGGCCGAGGTGGAGTGTCAGCGGCAGGAGCTGACGGCGACCATAGAGAACAAGCGCAAAGTCCTGGGGAAGGCCCTGTACTTGATCCGCATCCCCACCATGGCTCTGGACGATTTTGCCAACGGTGCCGCTCAGTCTGGGATCCTGACCCTCAACGAGACCAACGACATCTTCCTGTGGTACACGGCGGCCAAGAAGCCGGAGCTGCAGTTCGTCAGCAAGCCCCGGAAAGGCCTCGTCCCTCAGCGCTGCCACCGCTTCCAGTCCTGCGCTTACCGCAGCAACCAGTGGCGCTACCGGGGCCGCTGTGACAGCATCCAGTTTGCCGTGGATAAGAGGGTGTTTATCGCCGGCTTCGGGCTCTATGGCTCCAGCTGTGGGTCGGCAGAGTACAGTGCCAAGATCGAACTCAAGCGACAAGGAGTTATTCTGGGCCAGAACTTGAGTAAATACTTCTCGGATGGCTCTAGTAACACTTTCCCCGTGTGGTTTGAGTACCCGGTGCAGATTGAGCCCGACACCTTTTACACAGCGAGCGTGATTCTGGATGGGAACGAACTCAGTTATTTTGGACAGGAAGGAATGACAGAGGTGCAGTGTGGGAAGGTGACTGTTCAGTTTCAGTGCTCTTCGGACAGTACAAACGGCACGGGGGTACAGGGAGGGCAAATTCCCGAACTCATCTTTTATGCTTGAATGAGAGCGTGTGGAGACAGAGCATTTTGCCATGAAGAACCTGTCAGGTTCAGGCCTCCTGACACTTAGCTTTTTATCTGCAGATGTGATCAGTACAGGGAATATGTAAACGCTGTGGGCAAGTTCCTGGCTTGCTGTACTTGTAGCATCGTTGGTGATCAAGTTTAAATGTAATATTTTAAACTGGAAGCTCTTAGAAACAAGTGAGTTTTAAAGGCTTTTTGTAGGAGGGTGCCTGTTTGCTGGTGATGCTGACCTATTCTTTGATGCACCTGTGAATCACCAGAGGACATGCCCCTCTTGTATCTCACTGAACACTGTCTTCATTGATCCCTTTTCTCTTTCTTCATTTCCTGCTTTCCGCTTGTAATTCTTTTGGGGAGGTAGGGGTAGAAAATGAAGAGCCTTGTTTTATGGCTCTCTCTGCTGTCTGCTCTGCAGACTTTGGAGATTCCAGTAAGCCAAGCTGCTTCTGACCATGGGAGCTGAAAGAAGTCCCTCAGTTTTAAGCAGAAAAGGTGGAGGTTTAAACCTCCATCCTGTGAGATTCTCCTGCAGCCAACTGTTTAAGATGGCTACAGGGGAAGATGGAGAGGAGGAGGCATCTTTCAGGAAGCTACACAGCATGCTGACCATGTCCACAGTGCATGGACATGTTTACAGTGAGGAAGGGATGTGGGCTTGGCAAGTAACCCTCGGAGTTCACTTACTAGGAATCCCACCTTGAAGCCAAGGAGGTACTTGCACGTGTTCCAGTTGTATATGCAGCTCTTGAAACTCTACTCCCCTGACCTAGTTTTTGCTACATTGATTTGCTGCTTAAATGGCTTTTCTTTGCTAAGTGAATGGGAGTTAATATCAATCATCTGATGAAGGATAAGTTTTTGTTTGTTTGGGGTGGGGTTTTTTCTTCTTCCTAAACATGGTAGAGGCAGATCATAGAGGAACAACAGAATGTATCAATCCTGACTTGGACTTTTTTCTGTAATATGAGATTTTATTTTTTTTTTTCTTTTTATTACCAGTCGCAATTTAGACAAAGACAGAAGATTCCCAGCTGTGGTCATATTACACTTAGTGTATATCATCAGATAGCAGTGAGGAGAAAGAAGTCTTCTCTAATGTGTTAATGTTGGATCTCTTGCAACTGCTTATGGCTACACATCAATCTGAGGATTATGTGGTACAGAACCCTTTCCTTGTCTGAATTTCCTCTTCCCCCAAACTTCTTGTTGTATGTCTGTATCATTTCTGGAAAATATTAGGGATACTCCTTGTATCAGGGAAGGAAGCCAGTATAAAAAAGAACTACAGGTACTATTTAAACATGAGCAAATCCTTCACCACTGCACTGGGACAGTTGTTCCTCAGAGACACACTACCTGTTGTAAAGCATCTCATTCTTCCTTCACCTCTGAAGTGGGTTCTGTTTGTTCCGTACGTTTTAACGAAACGAGAGGGACCAAATGATTCTTCAGACAGGCTGAAGATAAATGTTACAGTATATCACACATTAATGTAGCATAACCCTAAATTCACTTGTCAGTTCTGTAATAAAAATGTTTTTCTCCTATGATTTCTTACCAGTTTAATGCTATTACTCTGAGTGTTGCTGGACAGTTGGAATCCTGGCCCCCGGCCATCCTAAAGTGCCAATACATCTTTGCAGTGTCCGAAATACCATCTGAAGTAAGGAAAACTGGAGCATAGACATCAAACACTTTATGGCCAAAGCCCAGATCTTCTCTCTAGGTAATAAAAGGAGAGCCAGGTAAAAAGCTACCCCTGCAGGATTTATGCCTTTCATCCATCTTAGCGTTTCATGTTTTATATACATACGTACATGTGTGTGTAAGCAGAGCTCTCTCTGAAATGTAAATACCCTCAAAATGCGGAGAAAAATGTTTTGTTTTTTTGTAACAGATGTACATAATCCAGACTGTTAGTGAAACCTAAACAGAATGCTCCATGGAAAACTCCCAGAGAGAGATTTAAAAAAACCTCCAGTTATTTATATTTAGATCTGCAGCTGAAAATAGGCAAGAGTATAAATGGTATGGAGTGGAGGAAGAGTTGCTGAAGAGATGGCAAAAAGGAATCGAAGACCGTGATGAGGTAATGGTCATCTACTTTTAGACAACATCTGAGCAGCAGTTCAATTTATTTAGATCCATTTGAAAGCAGTGAAAGATGCTAATCAGCTGATTAAGTTTTCTTATGGCAAGCGGCTGATGCAGATCTAATTTCTCGGAGTGATGATCAGACTGACAAGTTCCTCGTGGTAGCAAACTGCATTCTAAGTCGTTTGGGGGAAAAAATCAGGTGCCTCAGCTGGTGGGACAAGTCAGAGAATATCGCATTGGTATAACTTAGACTTGGGTCCTCACTTTTAATTAATTTTTTTTGGTTTTACTTACCTGTAAACAAAGGTGAACTGTCTGCTGTGTTCACTGGCTGGAACAGAAGTTCAGAATACCCTGTAGCTGTAATATGTAGAAAAATGAGCTGTTATTTAATTATTTGCTTCTTTTATGAAATCCTTTTGACGAAGTAGGATGAAAGCAACCTCTGGCTTAATTCCTCTGAGTCCATTCCAGGTTTTAGGAGCTGGTGCATGTGAAGGTTTCCAGTATGAATGATCAAACAAAAGCACCCCAAAACACCTTTTGATGCTCCCAGTGTGACTTGTTTCTGAGTGCTACCTGATGCTAACAAGTACTGGCATATAAGAAGGTGGCCAGCGCCAGTCACCTTGGGACATCAGGGCACTTCAGTAGGTGTCTAAATGTGGATTTGGTTGGTTTAGCAGTAGCATCCAAGCTTGAATACATTGACATCTTGCAAGCATCAGCCACATCAGCCTGGAATGTAAATGTAGGGTCGATAGAGATCACCTCATAGATTCTGTCTTAAACTGTACCTGGCCATCCTTGCTACTTGTATCTTTGGTTTTCCTGGCAAGAGGAATCTGTGATAAGAGAGTATAATGTCATATACTTTCTTCATATCTAAAATAGTATTTAAGTAAACACTAATTTCTACATACGTATTGCACTGAACTGTTTTGGGGTTTGTTTCCTTTTTTTTTTTGTTGTTGTTGTGATGAACTCGGCTCACTTCAGGTCCCAGCACCCATTTGTGCTGAAGCAGTGTTTGACCTTAGCAGGCTTACAGCATTATTTATAAAGGACAGATATATATATAAATATATGAAGTACCTCATGTTGAATGTTATTGTACTGTATCTTTAATGTCACAGTGCAGATCTTGTTGGACTCATGAATGTGTATAATCACGCTAAACATACAAATAAAAATGATTCTTAAGTTATTGTTTCCTGCATATCTTTGAAGCATGAGCTGTGAAAGCCCTTGCTTAGTTATCTTCTTGTAGAAATTTCTATTGTTGTACAGTTTTGTAGGGATATTTGTTGAGCTTATGTATTCAGAGATCTTTTGATCCCCAAAGAAGCAAAAGTCTAAGGGAAAAACAAGGAAGAACAATGAAAATGTTAATCAGTTACATTGTAAAAAGGTTGACGATTAAGCTAATGAGCGAGAGTGAATGAATTCATTTATGTGCTTTATGAAAGACCTTGTCTAGTAGCATTAATATTTTAATGTTCTATTAATATTATTAAATATGTGGAGATGAAGGGGGAGGGTCTCTTGTTTATTCTAAAAGACAGTTGGCACAAGAAAGGCCGTGCTTTTCAGTCTCTGATAGATCAGAAAGGACATGGTTAGTGCCAAGAGGCTGTTCTCTGCTGAAAAGTTAATTATATCATATTATTCAGAATTCTGACTATTTTCTTACTTAACAATTTTCTTCCAGAAGCTTTGAGACTTCATTTTAAATACCTCTGTGGTCGGTGAAGCTGAAGCCCCACTTCCATGATGTCTATCTCCAAGACCTTTCACATATTACTAAGCTAGTGATAAGAAATACTCCACAGTCTGATAGACATGGCAATTTAATTGAGGAAGTCTTCCCCAGTAAAAATCAGTAACCTTCAGAGTTCATCCAAAATTCTGATCAAAGCCTGTTTACAGGCATCAAACTTTTCACTTCTGGTAAGTTGTTAGAGCTCTAACTGCAATACTTGGTACCAAACTGCTGCATTCCTGATCCAAGTTCTCTTATGTGTCCTGCACTTCTTGTGTGGAACTGGCTTCAAGCAGGAACTGTCCTGTGCCTTGTACTGTACTAATGACACCACCTGTCAAATGTGTGGTAGATACCAATGTGATTTGGTGCAGGAAGGACCACACTGGAAGCAGAAGTCTAAGTTGGTACGTTAGAAGAGGTGGGTGCTGTTGGCAGCTTCAGATTCTTTGATAAACAGGCAAGAGGCAGAGAAGCACGTATGTGTTTGCACCAGAAAAAAAAAAAAAAGGAATTTGAAGTGGAAGGAAAAGGGATAGGATGTTTCTGGGCTGGGGAGGAATTAGCCTTTGAGAGCTGAATTCAGTCCTGCTTGGTGGAGAAGAGACTCCCTGTTCCCACCCAGTTGGAAACTCCTGAGGAGCTGACAGCCCCTTCCCCTTATGAGGGCAAGGTCCTGTCTAAAACGCGCTGCTTGTGAATGCTCAGCTCTTGGGTTTAGGGACCCAGGATTTCCTGGCTTCTGAAAAGCAAGACTAGTTATCCTATAGCCCAGGGCAAGCTTAAGGAAGCTGAGAGCTTTTTTGGACCTCCCAAGCCCAGCCCTCAGTGGAAGCTGAGATGCTGGCACAGGGGTGAGGTGGGGACTTCAGCCCATCAACAGTATTTGGCCACTGTGGAAAGCAGCAGCTTTGAAAGCCTATTCCTTGCAGAGAATCAGTGGGAGCAGGAATACCTGCTGCTTTCCTGAAGGCAATGAAAGGAGCTGCTTTCTCAGATGGCTGTGTGACCACGTTCAAAATAAAATTAAGGCTTCTTGGCATGCTGCTGCATTTCTAGAAGTCTGAATTTATTTTCTCCCCAAGACTTCCTCGTAAAGTGAGGCCCTGGCCCAATTGAAATCGGTAGGAGTTGCCCTAGTGACCTCAATAAACCCAGGATTTTCATTTGTAGTGTTCGTTTTATGTGATTATTCCCAAAACACAACATAAAACTGCCCAAGAAAGGGAAATTAATTTTGAAATCCCACTGTAATCTGATTATCTAAAATACAGGTACAAACATTTCTATTAAATTTTACAGAACTCCTGCTCCTCAGATTTTGTGTGCCTGCCCCCAAGCTTTTCTACTACAGTGCTTTATCTTCAGCCATGAATCTACAGACAGAACAGTAAATTTGTTTGAGGCTTTATGTATATTTTTACAGTCTGTGTGTGAAATTCATAACGCATATGATACATAGCACAGATAAAGTATTTTTAAGATTAGAAAGTGTGTGTAAATTGCCTGTAGTCTGCTCACCATGAAGGAGAAAACAAAACCAGCTATTTTGCTTGAAGGCACTGGTATTTTGAAAAGAGCTTCTTGAAGTCTGTAAGCTTGTTGATACCATCAGAAATGTATTTATATTAAGCCTTTAATTGTAGCATTTTAAAATCAGCTTCCTAATTGTTTCCTGTAGACAAAAGATAACACAGTCGGCTTTCAGGGATCCTCCACCCTGGTACAATGGGGTTTACATTTGAACAGATCCCTGCAAGGGCAATTTTAAAGCTTCACAGTGACGTAAAGTGCTGCTTGGGGAAGCATCGGTGCTTCAGAAATAGCTGTGGCTGGTTGTAGCCTAACGACAAACAGGGGCTTGCATGAGGAGGTGTCTGAGTGGGGTTTCCATTTCCCTGAGGGTGAAACACCCGGTGTTGCTGACAGCAACCACGTGCTGAGCGTTGTGTCAAACAAGTCAGCAGCTGTGAGGAGTTGGAAGGCACAAAGTGCATCGGGAACCTCTGGGAGAAGGCAATGGTGGAGGCTCCCAGGTCCAGGGCTGTTTTGAGCAAGGTGATTCCATGAGCCAAAGAACTGGGATCCTGTATCACAGTACTCTGGGTGATGGAGGGTTGCTGAATGGCGTGTGATTGTGATTTCTCACAACTGTCAATCTCATTTTGCGTTTTATTGTTACTCTGGGAGAGTCTCCAGCTCTCCTCTACCCTGGGCTGCCTGTTCCTGCTCTGTGCCAGAGCCTTCCATGTGATCGAAGCCCAGCGATTCCCTTGTGTGCTGAGACTGGGGGCACTGGGAACACCTGGTGGAAAAGGACTAGCTGAGTGGGAGTGGGACATCCCAGTGCTTTGGTGTACTCCTTGGAAGCTGTCCTGGATGTGCTGAATGCTGGCCTAGCATGGCAGGAGAGGCAGGATAATTCCTTTGTGTGTACAGATGTATTTCAGTACTCCCTAGCCTCACTTTCTCCAGCCAGTTGCTGTTTGTGCTCAAAAGGGAAAATTAGCATTAATTCACTTTTTTTGTAGGGTGTAAGAGTTATGATTCTGCAAAGGCTAATTCATGCTTCTGTCTTTACAGAGTCAATGGTCCCTGTGGGCTCAGGGGAGGTGTTGGGAGACAGGGCTCACATCTCCTTTAAAAGCACACATGGAAACATCTGCTTTCTTTAACGCCTTGTTCTTAGGAAGTTGTGGTGCAATAAAATAAATTCATAGACAGCTGGAGCTTGGCTTGTTCTGGCTTGTTTCTGTAGTGGGACTTTTTATGAATAAAAGAATGATGGAACCATATTTAGCTAATTTGGCTATATATAATACTAAAATCCTGCAGAACTTCCAGAGCATGAGGGTAGCACAGTATAAAGGCTCTTCCAGATGTGAGGATGTTGCCCCTTGGTTGCAGCCTTAGGCTAAGGTGTGACATGTTCTTGCTTTGTTTTTACCCACTAGGGCATGCTGGAGGTGGTATCTACATCAGACACCTTCAGAGCTTAGGGAGAAATGTGCTGAGGGAGAGAAAGGAAGGACAGATATCTGGAATACAGAGGAAAAGCATCTAATCAGAAATAACAGCTCTCATCAGGCACAGACAATAGACAGCAAACTGGCTTCAGGAAAGCTATTCAGGCATCGTGGGAGCTAAATCAACAGACACAAGGTAAGAATTGAGTCATGACAACTATTTAAATGATTTTTAAAAGTTGATTGTGCTCGAGACTTTCCTAGACCCTACAACGAGAGAATTTGTTTTGCTGCCTTAGAATACAGTCCGTACATGTCTCTGCCTTTGTCCTCCACGCCTCATATGGTAGTTTCTTCACAATGTATCCTGCATCAGATGTTTTTCCTCCTCAGTGCCGGGGCATGAGCAGGTTGGCTGACCCTGCTTAGGAAAACAATTTTCAAGTATAGCCTGTAATTGTCGTATCGAGCGCTCTCCTTCACCCCCTCTCCACGTAGCCTTTGTTGGCTTATAATAAGATGTCAAAGAGCAGGAATCCTGAGACCCAGCTGGGAGAGGAAGCTTTCCTGTTTCCAAGGATGGCAGGAGCAGGGTGTTGTGTTGCCTTTTCAAATGCTCCCAATGATTTGGTGTGAATCTGGCGTGGGCTCACCGTGATGCCTCTGCGGGGAATTAGCTGGGGCACACAAGGATGGCCTTTGCAAGTGCTGTGATTTCTGTGTCACCTTTCTGCCAGCTGCAGGGGGGGGATGGATGATCCCAGATCTGGCAGAACGCCTGCTGAGGTTTGGAACAAATCTGAACTGACAGAGGGAGTTCATCCTGGGTCAACATTTCACAGCATTTCTGAGCTGGTATTAGGAGCTTGAAAAGTCACTGAAGTGCAGCATGATATATTTAAAAGTTGGGGTTCCTACCAGCTCATGGTAGTCAGTTTTGTTCCTATTTTACAAGCAGAGCTCCCCAGCAGTGCAGTCACAGTGCTCATGGTTATCACCGTCTCCAGCACACTGGGAAAAGGCAGAAGAACCTTAAAACGGAAGACTGGAGCTCAAAGGGCAGGTGGTGGAACAGTCACTAAAATCAGCTGAAAGCTACTGTGTTGTCCTGATTTGTTCCTGACATTTTCCAGTAGCTCAGTGTGTGCTGGCAGGTTTGTTGCCACTGGTTGAAGGTGTATTTTTGTGTAAAGAAATACAACTCCTGACGTTAGCAGGACTGAGAGCAAACACCTACCATTTCCCATGTAGGGAAGCTGGCATTCAGCACTCCACATCTGCCTCTCAAAGAAAAAGGAGAGTTTCTTTTCAGCACTGCCAAAAAAGTGATATTAATTGAACTAAAGCTTGGCATGAATTGTGAGTGTGACTTGATCTAGGAGCAGCCTTACAGAATGAAATGTAAAAATATGCAGCACAGGAAGGAACTCATCGTCGAGTTAGAGTAGGACTGATGAATTAGTAAGGATGGTCTATCCATAATTTCAATGAGCTGGGACAGACAGGTAAGGAGAGGGGAAGATGCACATAGGAAAAAGCAATACCGGTAAGTCAGATCAGGAGCCTTCAAAGGAAAAAAATTCGTCCAAGATAAGGGAATAGAAATCTCCTCCCCTCGGTTTCTGCCATTTGTCGTGCATCTGGAGTGATTGTGTAGATGACATGCATTTGCTGAGCTCCTGTTAGGACACCATAGTTAGAGAAATGAATTACCCCAGAAGGGCAGAACGAGGTCTTTCAAAGGTCATTATCAGAACTGGTTTCTCATCAATATACTACTTGATTGGAGGAAAAGACTCAAAATTGCAGGCCTTTGATTGCTGAGAGGGAAGCTTTTAACTGCTTCCTGCTGTTCTGTCATTTTGTGCTAACCCCAAATGGCCCCATTAAATTGATGTCCTGTTTCCCATTCACTGCCCACAAATCACTCTTCTCCTGTTAATATAGGAAACATTTGCACATGATGGGAATTGGAGTGGCTAAACAGTAAATCTTAGAGCCAGTAAAGAACTCAAAAACATTTACCCAGCGACCAAAGTACTGATTTCTCCCCACCTCTTTATAATATTCAGTTACGGACTTTCTTAAAAAACACAGAACCTCACGTCTGCCTTTAGAGGATCTTTGCACAAATACCGTTCCCAGCCAGTGCAGAGGGAGTCAATCTGATTTCTGTGTGACAGCGAATTTCTTGCAGCTAATCAGGAGGTAAAACAAAGGCCAGGAGTGATGCAGCTGCTCGGGCAGTGGGGTGTCATCGCCGACACCGTGTGACACCACGTGTCGCTGCTGTGGGTTAGGGCAGCAATGAAAACAGCACAGCAGCTCAGCTTGCTCGGGCCAGCAATGCTATGAGAGTAACTGGAATCTGGGAGCTCTTTGGGCTGAGAGGAGCTGAGCCCCAGAAAGGTTTTTCTTCACTTTGATGGATGTCTGAGCTTACACAGTCTTACAGATTTGCACACACACTCTCCCATCCAGAACCGACTCGTGCCTCGGGTCCTTGCATTGACAGCGTCTTACTGAAGTCCATTTCTACTGTCAGGTTAAACTAAAAGATGCTGAAAGTGCACTGGGGTGATCCAGGTAGTGCAGGAATACCCTAAAAATGGTCTCAAAGCACTTTGACATAACTGGAGAGGATGGAGTGAGTGAGCACCTTGTAATTTAAGGTGCTTGCTGTGAGCAAACAAGAAAAAACTAACCCTTTTTCTGCTGGCCTTCAGGCAGTGTTGTTCCCTTCTCTCCTTCATATCTCAGTTTCCCCCACTAGAAGAATGGGAGGATGAAATCGAGCACCTCTGCAGAGAGAGGGCTTTGATATCTACTGATCAAACCTGCTCCACAGGCAGCAGGAATCAGGACAGGTGCAACAAAGCCCAGCTCTCCTCAGGCAGCTGAGCTCGCTGGTGGGGTTTGTCACCAAAATGTTTCCAATATCCTTAAATGTCACTAAACTAAGAAAAGTAGCATTGCTGAAAATCACGATGAAAGGGGCCTCAGATGTAAATCCTTTCTAAAATCTTTGTAATCCTCAACAGCTTTAGTTCCAACAGATCTTCCCATAAAATGAACTGCCAGCCAAAAGGTAAATATAAATGCAAAATATTCCCAGAGCAAACATGTTACTGGCTTTTAAAACAAGTCCATTTAAATAATATGAAAATATATTAAAGAAGCAGAATCTATTCTGCTTTATATTTAAAGATGAATTAATGCAAATATCACAGGTTTATCCTGCATTAGTCCCTCGAGAGGAGTCACTGGGGAAGCAATTTGTTTCTTGTTAGCTAAGGCAGGGAGCTTTGAAGTTACTGAGTTGTCTGTCTCTGCAAGTAGCCCATCTAATCTTGAGGAAAAGTGTCAGATCTAAGTTGGAGTGAGTTGTGTGTCTGTGCATTGTTTAAAAGTCTGGCAGGAAGAGGTCTTCAGCGTGCCACCAACCAGCAGGATGAGCACAGTGGAAGTGACACAAAGAATGTCCGGGAGAAATCTTTTAATGGCTATTAACAATGGACAGGAGCCCTGAACAGTGAGTGTCAGGAGAAAGGCTTCAATTGTGCCCTTTTTTTGTCTTTTAAATTGACTCCTACTAGGTTAAGGACTCTCATCAGTTGCTTTTTGATCATATCAGGTAAGGATGATTTCTCTGAGAGCTGATTGCTGGGAAAGCTACCAAAAGAGGCATTTTTCCCCCAGATGGTCTCATAGTTTTAGGGATGTTCACACACCCCTGCTCCCTTGACTGTGCTCATTAATCTGTTTCTGGAGCTGTGCTGTGACTGGATTAGGTAAATCACCTGGAATTAACTTCTTTTGATTTCATCTTGGAATTTTTTTATCGGTTTGTTGGCGCAACTGCACGCTCAGTGAGTTGTGACCAGTTAGGTGGTGGAAGCACAAACCTCTGACAGGCTGTTTCCCTGCACAGAAAAAAATTGAAAAGCTCTTGTCTGAAACTCCAGAGCTGTTGAGTTCATAGCAAATTCCAGCTTCATCCTAGAACTGTTTTTCAGAAATCAATTTTTCTACTCTTTAATTACAGATGAGACCCTCAGTTGTCCATCAGCACAGTTCCACTGAGCCTGGTACTCATGAGCTCTACAGTGTCAGCTTTTAGCCTGAAGGTACCAGCCTTGGGTTATCAGCTGCAAAGAAAACCTCTGCAATGTTAAGAGCCTATAAAGCCATTCGGGGAGATCAGTATGCATCTGAAGATAGCTCAAAACAATAGCTAGAGGGGGGAATATAAACTGTTTACTACAATTGGATTTGCACTGAAACCTACCGATGCAAAATTCATAGCCTACATGAATTAATTTGCTCCTGATCACTTCTTACAAAAACTGTGGCTTCTCCCCCCCTTCCCTTAATGACTTCTATTTGACAGCTGTGGATTTGCAAAGTGAACTGCGGTAGCAGAGTAGACATAAACGTTTGGAAATGGCACTAAAATCTGTGAAATGAATTGCCTTTGAAATTTACAGTTGTTGCCAGCTTATACAGAATCAAACTTGTCATGTGTTTATGGACTACACCTAATCTTTGAGCATCTTTCATCTCCCTATCACCTGTGTGTGAGGGAAGTATTAGCCCTGTTTTACAGATGGAGAAATGAGGCACAAGACTCCTGAGAGAGGCCTGGGAATGACTCTGCTCTCTAGCAGTCTTACTTGCAGGAAGGCACCCCCTCACCTTTTCTTGTTGGATCAGCTGCAAGATCTCACCTTGGTTTTCCTGATGTGCCACAAAATCAGGGAATCACAGAATGGTTTGGGTTGGAAGGGACCTTAAAGATCACCCACTTCCAACCCCTTGCCACGGACAGGGACACCTTCCACTAGACCAGGTTGATCAGAGCTCCATCCAACCTGGCCTTGAACATTCCCGAGGATGGGGCATCCACAGCTTTTTCTGGGCAAACTGTGCCAGGGCCTCAGCATCCTCACAGCGAAGAATTTCTTCCTAATACCTAATCTAAACCTGACCTCTCTCAGTTTAAAGGTGTTCTCCCTTGTCTTGTCACTACAGGCCCTCTTCATCTTTCATTTAGGTTCCCTTCAGGTACTGGAAGGCTGCAATTAGGTCACCTCGAAGCCTTCTCTTTTCCAGACTGAACAACCTCAGTTCCCTCAGTCTTTCCTCATAGGAGAGCTGCTCCATCCATCTAATTAACTTGCTCCAACAGATCCACGTCTTTCCTGTGCTGGGGACCCCAGAGCTGGATGCAGCACTGCAGGTGGAGTCCCACCAGAGCAGAGGGACAGAATCCCTTCCCTCACCTGCTGCCACAGAATTTAATTCAAGTTCCCACTGGGGACCAGGAAGTGAGTGAGATGTGCAGCATCCCTCCTGGTTTGCAACCACAGCTCTGCAGGAGAGGAGGGAGTGGGCTGCTGCTGTTTCAGATGTCCCTGTTCCTCTGAAGGGTGAGCAGAGAGCTGTAGCTAAGTTAATGGTCTCTGCAAATGCTCTATAAAGTCATTTTATGTAATGACCTGGAATTTATATCTTTGCTTATGAAACAGGAGCTGGTGGCTGTTTTAATAATTAGCATGTAGTGTAAATACTATACTGTGCTGAATTCTTTCCTCAGATAGTCTGTGCCTGCTGGTGAAGTCAAGGAGAACTGGGCTGGTATCCAAGGACAGAAGCTGGTTGCTTGTCTACTTAGGATACATTGAAAGCATTAGTAATGAGATGTGAGAAGAATAAATAAGCCTATTTACCATGTGGAAGAGAGCTGCCTTACTGAGGGTTAGCTGCAAAATGACTAGTTAAGAGCTGTAGTCAACTGCCCCTCCCAAAATTGCAGGCTCTCCTGCCTTCTCTTCCCATATCAAGCCAGGAGTGAGCCCTAGGAAGTGCTTTAAAGGGACAACCCTGCAGTAAGGAGGTCTAGTCCAAAGTGTTCTGCTGGAAAGGTCCCTTTTTTCTGAGGAGCTGAAGATCTGAATGATGATATTTGTGCAGGGAATTTAATTCCATGCTTGTGTACAGGATGGGAGCAAAAGAGGCCCTGGCTCTTTTTAGGCTCATTGGGATCACTCAATGCAGAGGAGGTTTACCAGCAAGCAGACTTGGAGCTGAGGATAAAGAATATCACACAGAACCTTGCACTCCAGAAATCAGATGTGAAGGAAGTTATGGGTCTGGTTGAGGACTGAAAATAGTTTACAGAGCCTTGGACCATGGGATCTAGTACAAATTGTAACACAGAAGTGAAAGTTATTTCAGCATGAATTTTGTAGCTGCAGTTTACCCTTTAATAGTTGGAGAGTTTATACTATAAATAGTATATAGTTTATACTATAAATAGTATAAACCAGGCACTGTGCAGACAGGGTGGGGAGAGAGAGCTCATTTCTCTTGACTAAAAGAGATCCATTTAAAAGGGATCCCTTAAAAAGTGGGAATAGAGTAGACATGAAGGAGAGAAAAGAGTGTGATCCACAGCTTGGTGGAAGGCCTTGTCAGCCAAAGCAGCATCTTCTCCAAGTAAGGATTTCACAGCAGAATTAAAAATATATCAGGTCTAAGATCTCAGTAAGTGGTTTCTAAAGAAGATATTTGGGGGAAAAGAGCACAACAGAGCAGGCAGATCCTGCTGGCCCAAGTGGCTGCCGGCCAGGAGCAGGAGGGGGAGTGTGGGTCTGCACTTCTGCTGGAGAATTACAAATAAAGGAACAGTTGGGAAAAGCAAGGTGTAATTCATGAAACAGCCAGCATTTGTTTCATGTTTCTCAGGATTTAGAGCTAATCACTAGCTAAGTTTACCCTCCTGGTTCCTCCTTCCACTCCACACCTCCAGGATCTTCTAATTTATAGCCTTCCAGATTCTTGTGCTTTTCCTGAGCGTGATGTACGTGGATGGAGCAGTCTAATACCTCAGTGGCTGCAGAAGCCTGACAGTGTTTTCACATTGCTTCTCCCTCCAATAAATCAAAGCATTCAGAACTGAGGACTGCATACCCAATAAAAGTCCTGTGGCAGGGGGAGACGGCTGTTCCTTCCTTTTTCCAGCTGTGAATCTCCTGGCTGGCATTCCTGCTGACTGGAGTGCCTTGCAGCAGTTATATAATTGCAAGTCAAAATTTCTCTGGTTCGCCAAATTGCTGAACCAGAAGGGATTGCTTACTAAAGGACTGGAGGGGAGAAACTGGGAGGGAGACATAAAGGCAAGAGGCTGTATAAACTGTCGGGCTGTGATCAGCATTTTGATCGTTTTAGGAATTTGTCAAAGGGGAGAGGGGGAGAGTTGTGTGGTGAGAGATGGGTGAATAATTAATCATGTATAATTTAGTCAATGCATTTTGCTGATTGGGGATTTTCTACAAATGGATTCCTGTGTGTGTCAAATGTTATTCAACAGCTCTTTTCAGTGAATAATTTTTGAGTTGTAGCTGCATCCTGAGGAGTTCATTGAGGTATTTGATAATTAAATACCGAGGAATAAGTGAGAGTACTAGCACAGCAAAATATAATCCCATAAATAGTGTGTGTATAGTACCATTGACTTCTTAAGGTGTAAGACAGGAAAAGTTTGCTTGATTTGATCTTTCATCACTTTAAATCTTGAAAGCCATGACATTTGAGGCACTTGGAGTGAATTGCTCAGTTTTGGGGATCTGAATGCCCATCTGTCTCCACATGACTATGTATATGAAACACATATGCAAATCTTCTACAGACAACTAAGCCTATTTCTTTGACTTATCACTACTTATTCTTACTTTCCTCTTGTCCCTTCATTAAACTGCTGTGCTCTTTCTAGATTGCATCAGAGATTATTCAGATAGGGCAGTTTGCTATAAAGTATTTGCAACAGAGCCCAAGCATCACTGTAAAATTCAAAGTTCTTAATAATGATCCCTAGTAATAATTTCCAAGGCTCTGAGGAAGATGCTGCTATTCTTTAACCTCCCCTCCTTGCGTAACCTTGGGCAGATCAATTACTTGGAGGAGTTCTGTTATCATCTTCTTACAGCTAAAGCCCATTTGGATGATAAAAATCACTTGCCATCGTGAAGCAAAGATCTCAGAGACCTGCATCCCCAAAGCTGCAGTTGGTAACTGAGGGAATGTGTGCTCCAAGGGTCTGCAGAACCCAATGTCACAGCAAAATACAGAACACAGCAAACTGCAGATCAGAAAATAATAAGAACACACATTATTTAGGTGAAAGACTTTACTGGATAAGACGCGGATTTTTCAGCATCAGTTCTTGTGGTGGCATTTCACCGGTTTACTTGAAACTGGTGGCCACAAGAAAACTCTGGACAACCCAATGGAGCTCAAGCCAGGGCAAAAAAATTGTCCTGGATTCATCAGCAGTGAAACAGATGGTACATCCATTCAAGAAGGCAGTAGCTTAAAATAAAATCGGACACTCTATTCTAATTCTATATTGCCACGTAGCTTTATCCTGCAGAGTCGCACTGCAAGTGGCACAACTGGCCCTTCAGAGAAACGTGCTCTGCTCAGCCTCGGTGCATGTGCTTGCAGCTCACAAGCAGATTGCTAATGTGGTGGTTTTCTGTTTGTTCCAGTGCTTTCTCTTAGGAGGATGCTCGTGACAGTTTGATTACTTGGAACCTGAGGTGAAAATGCCCAAACAAAAATGATCAGTTAACACAGAGGAAAATCAGCAGCACATTAAAAATAAGAAAACCAAGGGAGTTTTTGTGAAGGACACAATTGCGTGTTCACGTGTTGCTGAAATGCAGAGGTGCTTATAATAACTCTTTAAACCTCATCTTTTTCTAATAATCTTTATAATCCTCACCTAGGATTGCCAGGGAGTAATTTGTGACTGCTGTCTGTATGACAAGGGGAAAAGCAAAGCTGCTTGACAGAACATCAAAGGTTTGTGCCACTGAAGTTTTATGCAGCCACTGCTAAATCTTTCATGCTTGAAACAATGATGAAAAATGATTGTCAGCTATGAAACCAAAATTATATCAATCTGCTTCAGGGCTGTGGGGTGTTTTTTTCTTCATTTGAAAACATGACCCAGCCTAGCACAGTTCGCTTACCAACCTCTAGTGTTCTGTCAGGATTGAAAAAGAATAGAACTGAGTCAGGAAGGGTGAATGTATTTCATGCTTCACAAATATATGGAGGGGGGGGTGGGAAGGAGAGAATGCCAAAAATAAAATCAAGCAGGTCAGTGCCCAAATACCTCATCCTGATTGTCTTTATATAAGACATGTAACAGACAGTGTAGTTGCTCTCTGAATTTCCAAGGGGAATATTCAATGCAGAGTAGCTGAAATGGAAGCTAAATGTGGCTGGAGGCTTTAGTACCCCAGCAGTGCTGCTGCAGGTAATTTTTCTGGCTGTAAAACAAAACGATCCTTAAAGCTGAATGCTGAGAAGCAGAAGTTTGGGGCTGATTTGGCTTATCATCTCTATCAAAATCTGGCCTTAATGAATATCTCGTTAGCTACTCCCACACCTGCTTTTTCCTATGCAGAGCTCTTCAGGATGCTAAAATAAAAAGGGACCAAGTGGAGAGCAAGGAGAAATGTTTAAATTATCATCGTGAACCCTGTTTGATATGCACAGGGAGAGAGGCTGCATGTAGCTGCTGCTGCAAACTGAGCCCAGGGTACATGCGTTCCATCTATGCCATTGCATGCCCATGGCATGATGGGCTGCACTGCTGGGATTGCTGGAGGAGTCCTGTGGAAGAGAAGTCCTCAGGCCTTGAAGGGGGAAAAGGCAGTTTGAAGCCAGCCTGTTAGGACTGAAGCACATTGTCCTGCTGTTGCTGTGCAGAAAAGCTGAATCACTCAGAACCTTGCCGCTCTGTGAGGCTGCTTGTACGGTTCGTTCTGGGGGCTGGCAGTAAAAAGAATAATCCTTTCAACCCCCATGGCAAGGGGACTTTATCTAGACAGCATCCATTCTGCATTGCAGGTAATTTTTCAGGGTTATTTTTGGAGGGAAACAGGAGTGCCACAGCTTGGCTGCCACTCTTCCCAGATATGAGGGAGAGGTCCCATCGGTGCAGTGCCCTCAGTGGTCCCTCTGCAAGGGCTCTTTCCCTCCCTAGGCTGAACATTGATCAGCCAGACGCTGGTGGGAGTCAGATTCTCCCCTCCAAAGCTCTATTGTCTTCTCTCTGACAAGTATTTGCTGATCTTCTCAGCCGTTTGCTTTGCAAAGTTGCCTTCTCGTATCTTGATTCTTGTTTGAAGCTGATTGCTGTACGTGCACACAGTCAGCCTTGAACATATGGGAACCTTTCAGAGACTGTACTAGTTCTGCAGAGATGCTGCTCAGTGATTAGTCACCAAGACTGTGGTATAAATTGATACTTCTCTGTGGTATAAATTGATACTTCTCTCTGCCTCTGCTCCCTTCCCGTTGCTGCTGCCTATTGCCTGTACCACCTCTGACAGAGGAGTTGGAGGTCAGACAAAGAAAGAAATGAAATACAGTCTAGAAAGAAAAGGGTTATAAAGATAAATGGTACCATTCAAATGTGATGCACTGGCAAGTGTGCTGCATAGTAAGAAGTGCTGCATGTTGAGCTGTGTCACCTCACTTGTTTGCAATGCTGCCTCTTCTTTTTCTTCCACTGTTTTGCTGTAGAGAAGACATTAAGCCATTTTATCCTGAAAATCCAAATGTTTCATTTTAGCTGAGGCTTTTTCTTCTCTTTGGTGAGAGAGGACGACCCTGTGCCAGAGCCTTGCAGAATTCTTTGAGAAAGAGAATCAAAAGAATAATTCCAAGCCATGAGATAGGTGGATATTGTCCTCTTAGTGTTAACTTATCTGCTCACCCCCCCAGAAAAAACCCAAAAAGTATTGTCTAGGTTGTCAGATAATCACTTTGTTCAGGAGGTTCCCTTGCTAAGAAGAGGTAGAGCAGCATTGCAGGACCAGAAGCCAGCAGCTGGTATTGTTGTACTTGTGCATCTGCATTGTAAGGGTTTATATGATTAAATTGTTCCACAAGGTAGCTCTAATGAAGTTATAAAAAGTCTCATCAACATTCCAGCTGGTAGGCAGCAGAATGTGAGATGCAACTGATGGTCAAATGTGCACTCTAATCAGCCATGAACAATTTTATTTAATTAACTTTGGTTTACTTGAGAGAGACTTAAAAGTTTTGGTCAAAATACGCTCTAATTTTGAATCTTCTTTTGGTCTAGTTCTTAGAACATGAATACTCAGATGCATTTGACCTTTCAAGCCAGAACATGGCTGATCCTCATAGTTTAAACCTCTAATTATACAAATGAACTCATAAAATGATATCTTCTTTTATACTCCTTTATCTTAATAGCTTTCCTTAGAAAACACCAGAAATTTAACTAAGGGGGGGTGGTGTCTACTTAGAAGCTTCTGATTTAAGTCTCAGGGAATTTTTTCTTTAGTAAGCTTTCATTGATGATGTGACTGGATTTTTTTTTTTTTTTCATCTTCCTTAAAAAGGGCTTATTTTTAGGGATGTCCTACTTCTATATCACCAAAGATTGGTTCTTTGGAGCAGCACAGCCTGCTGAATTTACCCTTAGTGAGAAATAGGTGTTCTCTCTCAGCACCATGCTGTGCATGTTTTATGTGTGCCTAAAATGAGGTGCTGTGTTTCGGTGAATAAGAAGAGTGTGTCAGTAAAAACTCCCATTGGTTTATTCCTCACCAAAATTTTGTTCCTTGATAATGCTTTTTATTTTTGAAATGAGCTACATTTAAAAATGCTCAAGTTTACATAGAAAGTCAAAGCTTTTTTTTTTTAAGGTTTTTTTTTTCCTTTTTTTCAGTACTCTCATGCAAAAAGTACTAAATTTTCTGTGTTAAAAATACAAAGGCAAAATAACATCATAAAGTATGTGCATGATTGCAGCGTCTGGTAACACTGTCACTATTCACAGTCATCAGGATGGTCAGATACTTTTCCACATTTAAAAGTGTATTTTCTCTGTTACTTTCACAGGAATAAACTTCCAGATCTCAGGTTTTCTCATACCACTGGACAGGACAACATGCTTGAAGTGATTGTGAAGAACACTTGATACAAAGAAAAAAAATGAGGTAATTTGTCCTAATCAGGTCTTGTCCTGAATGCATTGTTAAATCCTTACATGAAACAAGTTTTCTTTCCCCTCTATTACACTTCTTTTTATCATTAGCTCTTGTAATTAAATGCCATTGCTTCTGTAAAATCAAGTCCTTCAAAACTAGCTTGTGTCTTTGGCCACAATTAAATTGCAGCAATGAGCTCCACTTAAGAGTTTCTCCCTTCAGGTTTTTCCAAAGATGCCTTTCTTTTAAAAAGAAAAATTTGCTCTTGAAAAGAAAAATAAGTCTTTTAAAATAGGCTTGGTATTTTTTTTCCTTAAGAAAAATTAATTGAAAAAAATCCACTTTCTGTCCTTTCAAATAAACTCACGTTCAGGAAAAGACCTAATTTGGAAGAAGTCATACAAAAAGATAAAACCTTTGAAAAGCTACTGGAGTTTTTATTGGAAACTGGTTGTTATACCTGGAGAACCAAACAAAAATGAATTATCAAAGAAAATTTTCCATCCTTCTTCTAATGAGACCTCATCACCTAAGCTGCAAAACTGAGGCAGGTTAAAAAAATTTTGCCCCATCACTGTTGCATCAAATTCAATGTTCCACAATTATTGCAATAATAAGGAAAACTATGTCAAAGCAAGGAAATTAGGCAACAAAGGACATGGAAAGACTGGAAGCTCCATAACCAATACACCTGTGCATTTTCTGTTGCAGCATCTGCTCTTTTATCAGGGCATATTCCAACCATGTCAGAAGATAGTTCAAAAAATATTACAGGGCAATTTATAGAAAGCTGTGCCAGCATAGAGTTCCTGGTCCTTATTGTGCAGATCTTGCTCTCTGCTGTTCCTCCTGTGCTGTGACACACAAATCCACGCACACATGCAAACCCCTCCAGGTGTTTTGGTTTGCAGTACACTACAGTGGGTTTTTTTTGTAAGCTGGCGAAACAGCTGACCTGTTTTGCCACTTCGTGGCATAAAATCCTCAGGCTGAAAAGGAGCTTCTCCTTCAGTCACCTTTAAATCATTCGCCTTTCATTTTATTGAGTGCCTTCTAGTCAATGTAGTAGAGAATTACTAGAAATGCTGAAGTGACCTTCATGAAATTTTCGGGTTTGCTTCTATTTCCAAGCCATTTTAAGAAGGCTATTCTTACTTACCAGTTTTTTACTTTAAATATTTCTGTCTTGAATACTTCAATAACTGATTGGAACTTTACTGGGAGTCAGGAAGGGAAGGAAACAAAACTAATTTCATCAGAGCAGAGGGAAGCAAGTTCATTTTCTCAGCCTAGAGAACTGTCTTCAAGCTCACCTCTGGGGGAAGGTCCATGGGTTTCAGCACTGCAGGTGAATGACTCTGGCCCAGAATGATTTCATCTCTCTGAAAAGGCAGTTAAAGTATTTGACAATTTTGTCTAAACTAGAAATGGTGCTCCAGGTTTTCATAAGCCTGGAGACATTTTTGTCATTTCAGCCTCATTTGGCTTATTACATCTTGCCAGCCATGTCCAGATAAAACGCCTCTGTTATAAACCCACATCTTCTCTATCCACAAGCCTTTCAGTCCCATGGCCATTAGGAAAGCCCTAACATTTGATCTGCCACTGATGATAGGCAAGTCTCAATTTGTGGTTGCCAGCCTGCAAAAATGATCTGCAAATGGCACGCTGCAGGATGTAATTTCACATCCCGCAGGACGGTGTTCAAGTCCTCTCGCTTCCCTTCAATATGAAGGTCATTCCTCCAGATCTGAATTAGTGTTGCTCCAAGTGACATGGGGAACTACACCATAAGCTTAATTTAGAACAAAAGCACGGTATAATAATGTTTCATGTCAGTTTATTTTCTGTGATTTGACCAAAAAATGTTAATTTCTCACTGAGCTGGAAATAAGACTAGTCCTTAAGAGACTGAAGTATTTGGGAATATGTTTCTCTCTTGTTCAAAGTGGTGGATCAGTCCTCAAATGATTCTTTATTTTTAGTAGGAAATACTCCCTCATTTCCTCCACTGCTTTTTTTAAAGCAGCAAATTGCTTACCAACCACCTTTTACAGCTTTTCTTCTCACCAAACTTTTCTGAGACTGTAACTGTTCAATATTACAAATCCATGTTTTCTGGTATTGATGAATCTGGCTCTTGGAAAGCCTGAGTTACAGTGATTAACTATCTGATTAAACCAAGAAAAAGAGCTGCCTTGAGGGTTTGAAAGACGTGCCCTTCAGAGGATTTAATTTCATGATCTCCCTAATCAGTGTTTGTAAGTTCAGTGTACATCCCATGCCCATCTTTTAAATCACTGCAGATTGCACATTGGTTGGAGGTGTTATCGCAAATTAGCAGCACAATATCAGTTTCTCTGATGCAGAGAACTCTGAACAGGAATCGTTTGCATTTCTATTTGAGCCTCCTGGAGACAAATATCATGAAATGAATAGCCTTTTAATTTAATTGGCTTCCAAGGCGAGTCCGAGAATAGAAAGCACAATGCAGTGCACAGTTACTGTAGAAACGGCTGAGGTCAAAAGCTCAGCTTGCAGACCCTACATCAGTCACCACTGCTCCTGTGCAGTAATTTTTTTTTAATTCTCACTGCATCTCCATCACACCCCAGGAAGCCAGATAATTCAGCGTTAGTATTCCGAGTGGAAGTGCTGGGTCGTTTGTCACTG